CTATGTTTTTTTATTATAATAATTAGATGTATAATATTCTAGTAGACAAATGTTATGGGTTGTCTGTATGAAGTTGGTAATTTAATAGAATAATGTTCATGGTTTTTCGTTAAATAAATTGATTTATTAATTGAAAATAATATGTACATGTAGAATTTATTAATAAAACAAAGCCTAATTAAAAATAGGTTTTTTAATAATCGTTGATGTGTTATTCTTCTAGTTATTCTAAATGTTCAATTGTAACATCCTCATTTTCACGACCAACTGAAAACTTTTTATTTATGCTTATTTAATTCAGAGTAGGGGTGAGCATTTGTACCGGACCGGACCGGACTGGACCGGACCGGCTCTTGGACCGGACCGGTTAGGGAGAAAATCGTGGACCATGGACCGGACCGGATGCATCGTGTCCGTGTCCATGTCCATGTCCGTGTCCGGGTCCGGGTTTTCCGGTTTTTGGACACGTTTGGACCGGTACCACTTTAGTTGCATAAAGTATAAGTAATCTACATTGATGTAAAATATTATAACTTGCAAACTTAATTTTCCAAATAAAAACAACTAACATATATTTCAATTTCACCAACAAAAGTTAACAATTTAAACACAAACATACAAAAATAATACCATAGCAACAAAAAACATAGTTTAAAGTTTAAACTTTAAAAGCAATCAAAACAACAAACTTCATAAACTCATAATCTAATCTTTCATTGGCTTCTTCCCCTTATCATTGTCATCAATATGTAATATATTTAAAGCTTGTGCAATCTCTACATAAACACAAATGAAAATGTTGTTAGTATTTAATAAAAAGTAATATTGTATAAAAAAAGAACAAAGCTTGTAATTTTTTTTTACCCAAAGCTATATCATCATCGTTCAAGATGTCATCAACGTTGTCAATTATCGGATTTGTAGACTTTCTCATCCAATCTTGGGTGCATAACAAAGCTTCAACTATCAACGTCGATAAACTAGTCCGATACTCACTTACAACTCTACCACATGTGCTAAACGCGGACTCGGACGCTACACTTGAGATTTGTATCGCCAATATATCTAACAACAAAGAATTAAATTGTAATAACATTAATTTATAAATAAATTATGAAAGTCTAAAAAAAAGTAATCACCTTTCACCATCCGAGCAATTATTGGGAACCTAATTGCGTTTACTCTCCACCACCCGAGAATTGAGAAATCTTTTTTATAATTAACTATATTCCCTTTCAAATAAGTTCGTAACTCGTTATCCGTTGGATCCGAGTTGCTACCTCCCGTACAAAGAAAATCACCGAAAAAATCATTATCATCATCAACATCAATGGCTATTTGACTCGCTTCTTGTTAAGATGATCCACCGTTGTCAAATCGTTCCAAGTAGGTCATAAATAAATTTTCCATCCTATTCTCAACCTCTCGGACCATTTGACGTGCTTTTATGTCCATGCTCGCGGGGGTCAATGATGGTTCCATGTACCCGATCATTTTTTAAAAGCATGTAACAAAAAAGGTGATTTGGTGGTAGGATCAAGTAAAACCGCAAAGTACATAAAATCATTCATCTTGTTGTATGCACCCCAATACTTTTCGTATTTCGTCCTCATATCTTTTACCATATCGAGAAACATTGGTTTGGTTGACCACTTTCTTAGATGTATGTCCACATCTAAGACTTCCCTGATAAAAAGATTTACCAAAGGTTTTGATGTAGCCGAAACAAGCTCTGTTTTTGTTTTGAATTTTTCAAAGAATTTCACCATTTCGGTTACAACTTCAAAGTCATAATTTTCCGGTACTCTACCGAGATCCCTTTCATATGATTTATCTGTCAAAGATACATAAACAAACAAAATTATAGTCTAAACAAAATCTTAATAATTTTGCTGAAAAGATGATATATAACTTAAAAATAAATATTACCTCTTATGCCAAATTCCGTAAATGCCTCTCGTAACTCATATGCGGACTTCAATAACTCGAAAGTCGAGTTCCATCGGGTAGGAGTGTCACCACATAGAAACTTCTTCGTTTGTAAGCCACAATCTTTCATCGCCTTCTTGAACTTGTTTATTCTTTGTGGTGACAATCTAATGTACCGTACCACCTTTTGGATACACTCAACATGATAGTTTTGGTATTTTAGTCCATCCTTTACGATAAGGTTTAAAATGTGAGCCAAACACCTAACTTGGAAATGCTTTCCACCCTCGTAAAGATTGGGCAACTTTTTAACCAAAAAGTCCATTGCCTTGTCGTTTGTAGCGGCGTTGTCCAAGGTAATGGTCATGACATTTTTCATTCCCCATCCACGAATACAATCGAGTAATTCTCGGCCCATATCCTCTCCCTTATGGCTATCTATCTCCCTAAAGTTTATAATTCTCTTGTGCATCATCCAATTCTCATCTATGAAGTGAGCCGTGACCACCATGTAAGTAGTCCTTTGACAAGAAGACGTCCAAGTGTCCGTTGTCAAATGTATAGCGGTCTTTGGGTTACTTAAAAATTGAAGCATTTTGGTTCTTTCTTCTATGTAAAATTTGGAAACATTTCGGGATATTGTATGTCTAGATGGCAACACAACCTTAGCATTAAGTGCATTGGTGTATTCCACAAAAGCCTCGTTTTCAACGAACTTGAAAGGTAATTCGCCTACCACAAAAAGGTTAAGTAATGCTTTTTTGATCCTTGCATCATCGTGTTTCCATGTTTTAACACTAGTGTCTCCATTTGACTCCTTTTTTAGATTCAATTTGGTTTGAGTTGGATCTTGTAGCTTATTCGGGTTTTTTTGACACCGATCTACGTGTTTGAGTAAACTAGAAGTCCCGTTCCTTTCCATATCCGCCTTTAGTATCCTTTCACACCATTGACATTTTCCATATCTTCTTTCCATACCATCATCCTCTTTTATCATAACTTTATCAAATGAGTCCCAACAAGAGGATGTTTCTTTGCCACTTGTTTGTTTTTTTTTTGTGACTTGTTTTCGTTTTGCTATTTGTTCTTTTTCGTTTGTTAACATTTGATTGATCATCTTTTGCCGAATCATCAACTAAATTGATTTGTGGTGTATCCTCAATAAATTCCTCTTCATCAACATTCGTATCCTACATTACATATAGTCGCAACAAAAATGTTTTCACAATTAATCAACAAAATATAACGACATACTTTATGACTTTCAACAAAAATTAACAAAAGTCAACAACAAAAACATAACCTTAGTTTACATACAATCACAATAATTTTTTTTTACCAACAAATAACCTAAATATAACAACATACTTTATGACATTCAATAAATTTTAACAAAAATCAACAAAAAATCATAACCCTAGTTTACATGCAATCAAAACACAAACTTTTTCACAATTAATCAACAAAATATAACAACATACTTTATGACTTTCAACAAAAATTAACAAAAGTCAACAACAAAAACATAACCTTAGTTTACATACAATCACAATAAATTTTTTTTACCAACAAATAACCTAAATATAACAACATACTTTATGACATTCAATAAAAATTAACAAAATTCAACAAAAAATCATAACCCTAGTTTACATGCAATCAAAACAAAAATGTTTTCACAATTAATCAACAAAATATAACGACATACTTTATAACTTTCAACAAATATTAACAAAATTCAACCAAAAAACATACCCTTACTTTACATACAATCACAATAAATTTTTTTTACCAACAAATAACCTAAATATAACAACATACTTTATGACATTCAATAAAAATTAACAAAATTCAACAAAAAATCATAACCCTAGTTTACATGCAATCAAAACAAAAATGTTTTCACAATTAATCAACAAAATATAACGACATACTTTATGACTTTCAACAAAAATTAACAAAAGTCAACAACAAAAACATAACCTTAGTTTACATACAATCACAATAATTTTTTTTTACCAACAAATAACCTAAATATAACAACATACTTTATGACATTCAATAAAATTTAACAAAAATCAACAAAAAATCATAACCCTAGTTTACATGCAATCAAAACACAAACTTTTTCACAATTAATCAACAAAATATAACGACATACTTTATGACTTTCAACAAAAATTAACAAAAGTCAACAACAAAAACATAACCTTAGTTTACATACAATCACAATAAATTTTTTTTACCAACAAATAACCTAAATATAACAACATACTTTATGACATTCAATAAAAATTAACAAAATTCAACAAAAAATCATAACCCTAGTTTACATGCAATCAAAACACAAACTTTTTCACAATTAATCAACAAAATATAGCAACATACTTTATAACTTTCAACAAATATTAACAAAATTCAACCAAAAAACATACCCTTACTTTACATACAATCACAATAAATTTTTTTTACCAACAAATAACCTAAATATAACAACATACTTTATGACATTCAATAAAAATTAACAAAAATTCATAACCCTAGTTTACATGCAATCAAAACACAAACTTTTTCACAATTAATCAACAAAATGTAGCAACATTCTTTATAATTTTCAACAAATATTAACAAAATTCAACCAAAAAACATAACCTTAGTTTACATATAATAACAATAATTTTGTTTTGACAAGTATTCAACTAAATATAACAATATTGTTTGTTATTTCAACAAAATTTAACAAAAAAAGAACCAAAAATCGTAACCCTTACTTGAATTTCATCGTCATCAAGTGCAATCCAATTAGCGATCCCGGTTTTTGATTCCATTAATTGTGAATCGAAACTTGAGTGAATCGAGACTTGAGAGAAACGACACTTGAGAGTTGAGACTTGAGAGAAACGAATTGGCGAATTGCTACTTGCGACTTGAGGATACAGAAATCAGAATCGACACTTGAGTTTCACAATCGGGCATCGACTACTGCTTGGCATTGACTAGACGACTAATGCTTGGCTGCTTGCGATGCAATTCAGAAATCAAAAAAGACAAGGGCCGATTTGGGATTTGAGATGATCGACATCGAAGGAGGGTTTTTTTTGGTTTGGAAATTATCGGCTATTACGTGTTATGGGAAAGGGAATGTCGCTTTTGCTATGGTATAATAAGGCCGATAATTTTTATTTTTTTTACCATGTCCAACCGGTCCCGGACCCGGTAAAAACCGGACCGAACCAGGAAAAAAACCGGACCGGACCGGATACAAAACTTAGAACCGAGAACCGGCCCGGAGGTCCAAAAAAACGGTCCGGTCCAGTTCACCGGTCCGGTCCGGGTCACCGTCCAAATGCTCACCCCTAATTCAGAGTATTCATTAAATTGCATAATTTATTCCTAAAACATAATTGTTGAAGTATTTCCGAAGAAATACATTTTATTGGTATATAAAAGTTTTGGTGTAACATCAAAAAAATCAATGTAAAATTTTTCATTTTTTGAAACCAATCCAAAACTATAAGCCTTTACAAATCATAGATTCCAAAAGTCATAAACATGAATCAGAGTATCCCATAATCATAATGTCATAAAAATCCAAAATGATGTGCACGATCAAGCCTTCTCCTTACCCCGATCATCTAAAATACCTAAAACCTACAACTGAAATTGTAAGCGAAAGCTTAGTGAGTTCCCCAAAGTACCACCACACAAAATATAACATATATAATCATGCATGTTGGGTCCAATCAATTATCGGACTGTAATACCCTTAAGCCCATAGCCATCAAGCTGGATTACCCCCGGCCCAATTAGTCATCGAACTGGAATGCCAATATACAACGGGTCTAATCGATCATTGGACTGGAATACCCTCAGGTCCACACCCATCGAGTTGGATTACCCTTGAGCCCACATCATGAGTCTGGCTTGCCTTTCTGGCCCACAACTCATGTCTAGATTTCTCCCTGGTTTGTTGGCCTCCACACAGAGTAGTATTGCCTCAACCCAACCTCACTATGTCGACATATGCAACAGATAAATGTATAACCAGCAAACATACAATCATACAGATCTAAAAGGTCACTACATCATAACAACATCTTATATACCAGGATACAAAACCGAATGGGTTAACATCGATGCCTTCGACCCATGAGTAGAGTGAGGAAACTCACCTCATAGTTTGAAAGATAGTAGAAATGAATGTTGCTCCAAATTTCAACTCTACAGGTCCCATACACAACAAACAGTGACCTAACCTCAAACTACTGCTTAAAATACCCAAAATGCCCCTAAGTCAAACTTGGTCAAATTCCTTGTCAAAGAGTCAAAAAATCAAAGGAGGTCAACACAGACTGAATATACCCAACATACTGAGTCACTACGCTTAGCGTAGTAGATCCCTTCATGGTTACGGGTCTCCGGCCTGGTACGCCCAACATACTCATCCAGTTCCATTTTCCTTCATTAAGTGCTTATTCCATTAAGATCTCACATCCAAAGCTCAAATATAGTCCCAAAGAATATTCTAAGTCACAAAGTTTCCAAATTTATGACTTTCCATGGCTAGAAGAAGTACATACACCAAAACCCTAACTTAATACACAAACCAAAGCATCATAACTGTTGTATGGAGGGAAGAAAGGGACCAATATCACATTTCTATGGTTCCTCATAGCTCCATAATAGATAAAGTTTCCAAATTTATCCATTAGGATTGTCCAATAACCAATATCTAATATTTAAGTCTCAAATGGGACTAAAAATGTATCTTTCTCAACTTAATCCATTAAGTCCAAGTCTCCAACCTTCATATCAGAATCAATATGATGTTTATATGGGTAAATTTTTCAACTTTATCCATAACAAGGTCACAAACTTTCAAGATCTAAAATTTACGCACTAAAGTAACTAAAATGTGACACATATGAAAATTAGCAAGATCTATGAAACTAATGAGCAAGTTTGAAGCTTTTTACCCACAAAGGTCCAAAAATGATGTAATCTTGTTGGATCTATGCTTGAATCCTTCTTCCATATACTTTGCCACCACCTTGTTCTTTAAGATCCCACTTTCTAATGGAGAAATAAGCTCATAAATGATGCAAAGGCTCAAAATAAGTGAGGGGATGCTAAGGTTTTGAGTTAGAGGCTAAATAGGGTGGAGGCTCATGATAGGAAGGACCCCCAAGGGGTTAGAGACCTTAAATATGGCTCTGAACCATGAAAATAGGGTTTTTACTCTACGGCGGTACGCCCAACATACCTAAAATTACTTTAACATCCATAAAAATTAGGGTAAATTTAAACTTTTTAAATACATTCCAAAAGCATAAAGTGTTTACAAATAGTTTTCAAAATATTTCTGACATTAGAGTTTTCCCAAAATCATAGAGCATAAATAGAGGATGTGTACGGTCACGCCTTCGCCTTCCCGTGGTCATTTGAAGTACCTGAAACATAACCCAAAACTGTAAGTCAATGCTTAGTGAGTTCCTTCAAAGTACCAAAACATAACCAAATAACACATATACAATAACAACATACAATGGGTCCACAACTAAAAGACTAGATTACCTCTAAGCCCACAACATAAGTTTGGCTTGCTCTTAAGGCCCACAACATATGTCTGGCTTGCTCCCCGACTAGATCAGTCATCGGACTGAATACCATCAAGTCCTCAATACGAGTCTGGCATACCTACCCGACCCTCAGCTCATATCTGAAATGCTTCAGGGTTTGTTGGCTACCGCACGGAGCAGTACCACCACAATATGTCGACATATAACAGATAACAACATATACAGATAATCATGCAGACAGAATCACAAGTAGTTCTATAGATCTACCACTATCATGTCACTAACTAGCATACTCACTTTTTATAATAATGTACTTTTTTTTATTTTTATATCGTTGTGTTGTATCCTTTTTGGTTAACCAGTAACCAAAATTATTAACCGAATAGAACCATTAACCATAACCAATACTAATCGTAACCAATGGATACAAAAACGTATTAACCGGTTGTAATGGTTATGGTTCGGTTTTGGTCCATAACCGAACCAAACCGCCCATACATACCCAAAAAATGGAAAATGAACAAAAAAAAAAAAAAAAAAAAGGAAAAGAGTAAGGGTAATCCTGGTATTTCACTCTTATATGAATCAGGGGAAATACATTGTGCGTGTTATGGTTGGCGTGAGAATTGAGAAAAGAAACACATAAAGTGATTAAAGTATGTGCGAGTGTTCTGGTGTGTGAGTCGATGGCATATCAGAAGGATCGTGATTAACAGAGAGCCACAAGGAGATACCAAACATCGGGACAGTGATGGTTAATCGCTTGATTGATGCTTACAACAACCTGGAAACTCTCAGTGTTACCTAATTGAGAAGAAATTGAAGGTAATCTTTTAAACCCTAAGTAGACACTAAAGAAATTGTTTAGGATTTTGCGATGCATGATTGAAATTGGTGATGATTTATGGCTTTTGGTGGTAGCAGACTTTGTATGACCAGAAATCAACAGAAGCATCCCGAAACATCCTTATTTCAGATTTGACACAAGCATTGGAAGGTATTCAATCAACCTAAGTTGAAATTAATACTTGGAACACATGAAATTGCTTAGGATTATATTATAAATTTATATGGATTTATGAGTTTTGCTTGGTAATCAACTGAAAATTTGGAAGAACAAAGAATGCAGATTGATGCTTGAAGTTTTGAACAAGTTTGACTGTTTATGAGTCAAACAATTAGTTTGGAATTGAAATTTTAAGATTTATGGAGAAATTGATAATGTGATTGTATTCTTAAGAAATATTATGCAATAGATGAAGTAATTTGGTTAATTACTAGTTGATTCATAATGCAAATTTGGAATGGAAGATGAAATTAGTAAATAGATTAAAAAGATAAAAGCTTACTTATTTGAATGTAAGTATGAAAGTATTGGTTTCAAAATGCTTGGTAAATGGAACTTGTAAATTCCAACACTTAATGAAAAAAGAACGGAATTAAGTAATAAGTAATAACCTTATTGGTTTATACTTAATACCCATGTAAAAAATATTAGAACTTGGGCATTATCAAACTTTTTTTTAAAGCCACCAGAAAGTAACATTAAGGTTAAAATACAAATATGAAATATCTGGTCAAGTATTATGTAATGCATCATTGCAATGGAAAGAATCATCAAAAGGTACAATTCTTAATTATATTCTAAAATAGTCAAAATGGGTAAAGTAAGGATACTTAGTTATTTAGAATGATGTTAATAAATTTAAAAATAGTTGGTAAGAATACAAAAACATCAATACAACGATGTCTTATGACGAAAATATGCAAAAGATAAATAAATAACCAGCCACTCAATAACTTGAATACATTTTCAGATCATCAATATTGTTATCATGACTTAAACATTTTAACAAAAAAAAGTTTGTTGAAACGTGTAGCAAAAATGGATGACGAGATGGTTACGCTTCATAATGTAATGCCCGTGGATCTTGCTATAAAACGAGAAATGGAATATCGACATAAAATGGAGGCCTTAAAAAACCAGCCACTCAATAACTTAAATCCTTTGCTACCTTCCCAAGTGAGATCTTACGAGCCTATTTTTTTTTTTTTTTTTTTGGATGGTTTCACATTTATATACAGAAGCAGATGAGACTGTGTCTAGCTGATGTGGGACATTAACATGTACAAATAAATATACATATAGGTTCATCCGACAAGTCGAACAACATTAAAGAGAAAAGAGCCATCTACAAGTGGCATAAAACTAAAGAAACAGGCAACGGGGCTTGTTTGCAAGATTTGTGAGATAACATTTTGTACGGTTGGTCAAATGAAGGATCATTCCAATAGTTTGAAGCACAAACACATTGTACAACAGTTGAAGAAAAGGGGACAAAATGTTAGCACACCATTTTTATGTGAGCTTTGTAACTCATCTTGCTCTAGTGGTATTGTAATGGCAGTTCATCTTAAGGGTACAAAGCATGCTGCTGTTCTTCAGGAGGTTGAGAAAGCTAAAAGGGCTAGAGCCAAAGAGGGATTTGGTCCAAGAAGGTATTGAATGTTTGGTGTATTGAACAAGAGTAGACTGTAATGCCATTGTGTTATTTATATATTCGTTATGATGTTTGGAAGAATGAGGGTGAATGGTATCGACTGTTTGTAACTTATTTATTTCGCAATTAAAGAATATGTGAGCCTGGTTGAGAAGTAAAATTATATACAGGAGTTAAATCCTGACACACTCAAAATATTATCAAAATATTATCAGTGTTTCACGATTGACTTCTTATGTGGACCTTGAGATGGGTTGATATGGGCTGTTCAGATGAGAGAGCCTAGTAACGTCATTTTTTACACTAAAAATATATATTTCGGCTATATTATTTTTATAGCTTATTTATATTTTCAAAAATACCCCTTCTATTTTTTTGTTTTCTATAGATTCGGTTACGTTATTTTCTTAAAATGACATTGGAAATTACATTTAAACAAATATAATCCAACAGATAGTTCATGTATGATAACTCTGAATTAATTTTTATATTATTAGAACAAGCATTTTATTAAATGACAAAATTACATTTATAACACATTTCAAAAATGTTCAAAACAATTTTTTACGTTTAAAGTATACATTTGATGATAAGATATAATTGTAATTATTTTTACTGTTGCTTGGGTTTTTTTATTTAACTTATAAATATAAATATAGGGTCAAAGTCAAATGAGGACATAAAAAAAATTAAGAACCTAAAAATATTTTTCCGAAGATTTTTTCCAATCAAAAGACCAAAATGGCATATGTTTCGGTTGAAATTGACAAATGTATCAAAAAAAAAAAAAAAAAAAACAAAATGTATGCATATATGGCATGTGTACATATGCATGTGCATAATGTATACATATACACTTGCACACTCCTAAAAGGTGAACGTATGCGTGTTCTCAAACAGCAAAAAATAAACATATGCACATATGACATATGTCTATTTCGATATGGTATATAGGATTATCTGATCCAATTTGGTTAACGACTAATTTTGACGGATCCGGATTTCAAATTGGATCAAATCTATACCGCAGATGTACTATTTACAACCGACTGAAAACCTATGACCCAAAATCATAGAAAAAACTCCTGACAAGATATTGTTAAATAAACTCCATGAAGAAACCCTCCTACAAGATATTGTTAAATAAACTCCATGAATAAACCCTGTAATTTCAATTTGGGTGCTGTTAATATGTCACCTTTAGACATCCTATCATCATTTTTATAAAAAGTCAATCTATAATCAACTATTTATAATCAGTTTTTGGAAAACAATAAAATTTCAACCAATAAAAATATTTCAAAAATTAATTAGGTTTGTCTAAATAGTAAAATGGGATGTCTTTTTTAGCCAACCCCTTTCAATTTTCGTGAACTTTTTAAGATTAGAAACTCCAAAAAAAAAAAAAAAAAAAAAAAAAAACTCTTGTTGTGGACGCTCTCATTACAGGTATCCAATTTTTTGTATATTTAAATCTTACATAATAAATGAAGGTTTTCTGTCACGTGTCATCTCCTTGTTCAATACAACACATTACATTTTTATAATTTTTTCAATTAACTTTAATTCTACTTCAATAATTGAGGATTTTTTGGTTTTTTATCAAACTAAAAAAATATCAAATACCTTACTGCATCTTACACAAATAAAGGAAACCTGAACATCTTCTCCTGATTTTTGTCAATGAATAAATTAAATCCAAATATATCTTCCTAAATTACATACACAATTTTGGGAAATCACCACTCAAATTGACACTTATTTGCAGGAACTTATCAAATTTCAATTCAATCATAGTTATTCATCATATCCTTTCCAAATTCAAAATTGTAAAATATATACAGCTACAATCTCATTCATATGTGGCGTTTTATTGAGAGATTGAAGATTTACAGCATCACCACGTTCATCATCAAAGTTCATTATCGTCAATATCTACTACATCAGGTTAGCATATGTGATGTTCGACACAATTAGTTTACAACATCATGAAAATGATTTGATTCTTTTTTATTTGAACAGTTCATGTTTGCATCTTCTCCTTTCCATGATATGGTCAAATTGTATAGAGATATATATACTAATTATTTACTTATGTTTCACTGCATATAAGTTGTTCGATTAAATGTCTCAAAGAAGGGTTTTTTTTCTGTCACACACCCTGCTGCAACTGTGATATGGAATTATACCAAATACCAAATTTTGTTTTTTTGAAGTTGCCATCTTCTAATCACAAGTTTACAATTCTAAAACTTTGATTATACCAAATACTAGATTTTGTGCATGTAGGATTTCATTCCAATGATCTGTGAATCCCAGACTTATCCATTTTGTTTTGTATAATTATGAATGATTAGGTTTCCATTCCAGAGCATTCATATTCATACCTGTCATTGTAAGTCTCTCTGACGACCTGGAAAGATCCAGATCATCATCCAAGTATGATGATATATGGCCAGACTTAAACCATTTCCTTTTGTAAGCTTCTGAATGATAGTAATCATATTGAAAACCAGATTTTGTTATTGGTTGTTTATTTGTAAAAGCTTCTACTAAATAGGAGTATTGTTTTCTTTGTGTTTGGTCTAAAAAATATATGGTTTTGATCAATTTCTGTATATTGTTATGGTATAATCAAGGTTCTAAATAACATAAGGTGTGACTTGGCGGCAATAAGCCTCAAGTTTTTCCGAGCCTAGGCGAGTCACAACGTTTGTAAGGCGTGAGTTAAGGCGGTAATTTTCTATATAATTAATATTTTTATATGCATTTTCATCTATTATTCATTTTTATATACATATATGAGTTAAGGCGATATTTTGATAAAATTTAGCGGCAGATGCAAACCTTGGAGTCGTGGCACGCTATGACGAGTTTTTTAGAACATTAGGTATAATTATGGTCAATTGAAGGTTGACCAAAATTTTCAAAATAACAATTTGGCAGCAAAAACATTGTTTTGGTAAACAAATTGTCAAAACAAAAAGTTACCAAAAAAACGTCTCAATTGCCCCTAAATAACAAACCGAAGTCTGTGACAATTAACAAAACCACAAAAAAAATCCCCGCAACATAACTAAATTGCCCTCTATTGTCTCTTTTTTAACCTCCGCAAAATAAATTTTTGTAGCCAATTAATAATTTATTTTGATGATTAGTTATTTTATTTTTATTATTTTTATTATTATTTTATGTTTTATTATATTTTCGTGTTTGGATAAAAATAAAAATATGTTACTTTTTTTTTTGGTTTAAAAATGTTTAGTTTTATTAACAATTAGTGGAGAATATTGTTTATCCCTAATCATTGTCTATGTTGATCTAACAAGCACATATTTACTTTCACGTATAAGAAGATTATAAGAAAATTTTCCATGGTTTCTTCAAAACAGTTATTTTTCTTTATAATATATAGATTTATTTTCTTTTAATAGCAGTTGGTGTCTTTCATGAAGCGGGATATTTAAATATTATCATAGTAATTGTACAAATATGATATGATATAAGTGGTACCCCGTCTTACACTCTTACTTGTGGAAGTAATTGTAAGTATTTATATGTGACGAACTGATTTTCTTACTTTTTCGGTGTTTGAATCGATAAGAAAATGAATGAGACAAAATTGATTTATGAAAATTAACCAACATTTTTTTCCTGTCACACACCATGCTGCAACTGTGATACGGAATTATACCAAATACCAGATTTTGTTTTTTTGAAGTTGCCATCTTCTAATCACAAAAACTCTGATTATGCCAAATACTAGATTTTGTGCCTGTAGGATTCCATTCCAATAATCTGGGAATCCCAGATTTTATCCATTTTGTTTTGTATAATTGCGAATGATTAGGATTCCATTCCAGAGCATCCATATTCGTACTTGTCACTGTGAGTCTCTCTGATAATCAGGAAAGATCCAGATGATCATCCAAGTATGATGATATATGGCCAAACTCAAACCATTTTCTTTTGTAAGCTTTTGAATAGTGATCATACTGAAAACAACATCACAGACCGTATACCGATGCTTCATCATCATGCTTTTCAAAATTATTTTTATCATTTGTTTATCATACTTTTCTATTATATAACAATTGATCTTCGTTACTATATTTGGTTTACAGCTTAATGGAAAACACCAACGTTACCATGATCAGTGACTTAACACTTGCACAAGATGACTACACGATCAAGGTTCGAATCATTCGTCTGTGGAAATAGATTTGTATGATTGTGTGACAACCCGAAATTTCTTCCGTTCAAAAACCGTTAAAAATAAATCAAAATCGGAATTTATTTATGTTCTTATCAACATTATCTCAGGTCTAATCAAATACTCTAAACTCAGAACAATCGAAGTTTGGGTCCAAGAACGTGATTTTTCCAAGTCAAAGCATAACATTCGGGCCAAACACCCTTTCGAGAGGAGTGTGCGACCGCAAACTTGAGTTTACGGCTGTACACCCCCACATCACCCATTGGCCGTAAACTCACCCCTATATAAGGTTTGAGTGGCCTTCATTCCACACTTTACACACTTTAAGGACCTTCTCTCCACTCTCTCTCTCTCTCTCTACAATTTTCGAAATTACTCAAGAATCCTCAAAAATGTAAGTGATTCTTCACTTTTATTGTGTTTTAATCTCTTTTCTAGTGATGAATCCATGTTTCATCTCGTGAATTTCATCTTGTTCTAGATTTTCTCTCTCAGCAAGAACACCAAGAACGCACACTAGTTTTTGGTGGCTAAAAACCTCATTCCAAGCCTCTTACAGTAAGTAACTATCATCTATGTTTGATATCTACTAGAAACCATTGTTTTTTCACCTAAACATCGACCTAAATCATGAACACGAAATGGGTTTACAGCCGTAAAACCATGTGTATGGCCGTACATCCCTTCAATGGTCGTAAACTCCATTTTTGGTCGATTATTGGCCTTA